CCCTGTAAACTTTCACTCAATCCACAATAAAAACCTTAAATTAAAAAAAAAAATTCCACCAACCCAGACCTAGCACAAGGCTGTTGGATGTGCTTAGACCCCAGACCCCTTTCTACACCAGGTTAGCAGCCAACTACTCCAGCCCCACCATCAAAGAAAGACTGTTCTGCCCAAATCCTTCATGTCACCTTAAGAGAGATACAAAGACAAGGTACTTGGTTTGAAACAGCCACCTATGACGAAACCCAGTCCCACTTTCAAAGATTTGTATTATGATAGTCTATTTAGCTTACAATGTACAGTAAGGTATTACCCCTCTACCCCCAGATGCATGCTCCTTTGGCCTTACTAATTGTATATCCACTTATAGCTTCTCCGCTGTCCATTCCTCAGTATTATGTATCCCTGTGTACTTGCTTCCTCATATTGATATATAGAGAGGTGACCAGGAGCTAGCTCTGATCACAGCTCCCAACCGTACCATTACCCCCGAGTTCCCATCCTAATGCCCTTCTTAGTAGGATTAGGAATTACAGAATCCTCAGCCTTAGGTATTTCAGCCTTAGCAACACAAGGGCATGGGTTTAATAGCCTGTCCCGAGCAATAAATGCTGACTTAAGCCAGTTAGTCGATTCAATTTCTGAAATGTCTGAACCAGACTGAATCTCTTGCTGAAGTCGCTCTCCAAAATCAAAGAGGATTAGACCTCTTATTCTTACAACAAGGAGGACTTTGCACTGCCCTAAGAGAAGAATGTTATTTTTATGCCAATAAAACTGGAATAATTAGAGAAACATTAGCAGTAGTCAGAGAGAGTACAGAGAAAAGAAATAAGCTGCAAGACTCCACCCAAAATTGGTATCAAACCTTATTCAACTGGTCCCCTTGGGTCATGACTCTTGTAACAGGATTAGCTGGCCTTCTCATGCTTCTCATACTCAGGCTCCTGATCGAACCCTATGTCCTGAATGCTCTGATCAAATTTATATGAAACCGAACTGGAGCTGTGAAACTGATGGTATTGCCATCTCAGTATGCCACCTTAAGGACTACAGCCCATACCTAAGAATCAATGATTTGATGATTTCCATAATAACAGGGGGAACGAAACAATAGAGATCCTTGAAAACTCAGAATTTTTAAAGCCAGCACAGCTCCCCTAGCCTGAGGCAGATGGGGCAGAAACAAGCCTCACATACATAGCTTCCCCTGGCCTCAGGGGAGATAAAACAGACACAAGCCTCACAGATGGTGTTTATTGTGTGATTATAAACCCCCAGGCATTCCTTAAAGCAATTAAATTAACTATGTACCTCAAAGACCCTGGCCAGCTCTCTACTACACAGCTGATTTAGGAGAAGCTATTGTCTCCCTGCAGTCCGGCTATAGCTATCTGTTGTGCCAATAAAATTGGACATTATAGTGGTCATCATCCTTCTTTGGGACTTGAACCCGTAACAAAACCTTCAATTTTTTCGTTAGTAGTGAAGTGCTTAAAACCTAAAACCTGTCCTGGTCTCTGGACATGGTAGATTATGGTCAACATAACAGATGAGTAATAAATATATGACAACTAAGCTGCATCAAGTTTTGGCAAATTTATGTCTCTTCTATAATCCTTATGCATGAACCTATTTATGACAGACTAGAAACAGCATTCCCTGTCTATTCATCTTTATCCAAGCATCAGACATTAGAAAAGTCTAATAAACAGTCCAAGGAGCTCTGGTAGTATAGTCGTTACCAATCGGGTTGCAAACCGCAAAGTCAGCAGTTCAAAACTACCAGCTGTTCCGCGGGAGAAAGATGAGGCTTTCTGTTCCCGTAAAGATTTATAGCCTCAGAAACCCTGTACAGGGTGGCTATGAGTCGGAACCGACTCCACGGCGCATAACCACCACCACCAATAACCTGGTATGGTTCTGTATGATTGCTAACCTCAAGGTCAGGGTTCAAACCCACCAATCACTCATTGGGAACTATATGGTGGTGGTTGTACTGTGGAGTTGGTTCCAACTCATAGCTACCCTATGTAAGGTTTCCAAGGCTTTACAGGAGCAGAAAAGTCTCATCTTTCTCCCACGGAAACACTGATTAGCAGCCGGACTCGTAATCACTACGCTACCAGAGCTCCTTAAAAACTATATACAGGGTCGCTATAAGAGAAACCGACTCGACGACACTGAACAGCAATAAAAAGAAAACAAACCAGTTTGGATCAAACTGACACTCACATTTGCTGGAATTTCTGAACAATGGGGAGAAGCAGGTTCCACCCATGCCCCAATTGGTACTATAGCCTGGTTCCTCTCAGCCAGCACTGCCAACACGTCCTTGCTCTTCAGAGGGTTTAATGCAAGGGGCACCCTCGGGATATTTTGAGGCTTCTTGAGGGGAGCCATCTTTCCTGCCATCTGTGACTCCTAGTTGGGAGAAAGGAAAAGTAAACCAACGCAATCTCCTAACACAAGAGCTACGTACAAAAGGAGAGAATCCTTGGGGAAGGCCGCAGCCTGGGCTGGTAGTCGAAGAGTTCTAGAGTAAAAGGAAGAAGGGGGAAGAATTTTGTAAGGAGAAGGAATTAAGAGGGGAGGAAAGGTTTAAAGATTGACTCCAAGAAAAAATGCGTATGAGAGAGAACACAGGATCGGCTTGAAGAGTATGAAAACCCATTGTTGGGCACAGCAAGGTGGAAATTTCGGAAGGGAAAAATGGGAACCTGGGTTAAACTACTCGATAGCCGGTTATGGCAGGAAATGCGAGAAGTCCAGAGTCAGATAAAACTCTGCTTTTGAGGAGCAGGGGATCCACTTCTTCTGAAGAAGCACTGGTCTGATAACTGCCGCTGTTCACCACATTTAAATTTAGTAAACTACTCCAACAAACCGCCACTTTTCGACAGGGCTCTCGTGTCACGCCCCGCGGTCGCCTTTGCCCGCCCCTTCCGGGTCTGATTAACCACTCGGCTATAGCGATATGAGGGCGGGATCTCCGTCATTGACTACTCGTCATTTCCGCTTCCTGTGTCGCTAAGGGGGCGGGACTTTTAAGAGTGCGGAAGCTTGGGCTAGAGCTAATACTGTGTAGTAATGGGCTAAGGGTTAGCGGAGACTCTGGCAACCCAACTTGGTGAGCTGGTTCTAACTCTGAGAGGATCCTAGGGCAGAGAGGATATAAAATCCTCCAGGAAACGGGATGCTTTGGGCTGAAGATCTGACCCAACTGGGCAGGCCAGGGGTCCCAAAGAAAAGATCTTTTACATCAGATTTTCCTGCTGCTTCTAGGTGCTTCTATGCTACTTCTATGGATACAAGTCATCCTTAACAACTTCAATCTTTCTTCCATTTATCATGACGTATATAAAAAGCTTTTAATAATCAGGAAGGTACAGTCCTTGAAGAACATCATGCTTATTGGGGTTTTTTTTTGTTTGTTTGTTTTTTTTGTTTTTAAGTAAGTGTTCAAGGCACTGGGGATATGTTATTAATGTTAAGTGCCATCAAGTTGGTTCGGATTCATAGCGACCCTGTATAGGGTTTCCAAGGAGCGGCTGGTGGATTTGTATTGCCAGATCCCTGTATAGGGTTTCCAAGGAGCGGCTGGTGGATTTGTATTGCCAGATTTACAGTTATCAGTCCAGTGCTTATCCTACAGCGCTACATCAGGACTCCCATATTTTGTTACTTCTTGACAACAGCAAGTGCCATTGAGTTGATTCCGACTCATAGTGACATCTGTATAGGATTTGCAAGGAGTTGCTGATGGGTCCCAATCAGATCTTCCGGTACAAATCGACCTTGTGATCCAGTGTTTATCTTACAGCGCCCCACCAGCACTCGGTACTCCTACATAGCAGTAAACCCTACATAGCAGTAAATGAAACAAAGTTTCCATGTTTATGGAATTTTCACAAAAGTAAGCCGAAACAAACAAAATAAACGTTCCATCAAGTAGATTCTGACTCGTTGTGACACTTTAGGATGAAGTAGAACTACTCCATAGGATTTCCAAGGCTATAATCTTTTCAGAAATAGACTGTCACATCTTTCAGACAGAGGTTGGTTTGATTAGCAACCAAGTGCTTAACCACTGCAGCTCCTCTATTGAGGGGTCATAACCAAATAAGCACATGAATAAGTAAAAAATATGCCTGATGCTGATAAGTGCTGTGGAGAAAAGGCAGCAAACAAGGATAAAGAGAGTGTTGTCTTGGTGTGGTACTGTAGGATAAGTATTGGACAGCTAACACAAGTTGGGTTGCTGAAATCCACCAGCTGCTCCTCAGAAACCTTATAACAGGCTCACTATGAGTCAGACCCAACTTGGAGGTTCTTAACACCACCACTCCTCTGTCAGCTTATCTTACTGTGGTGGCTTGCATGTTGTTGAAAGCTATGCCACCAATATTTTAAATACAAGCAGGGTCACCCAAACAGGTTTCAACTGAGCATCCAGACTAAGACAGACTAGGAAGGAGAGACAGATTATTTCCGAATAGTCACTGAAAACTTTATGAATAGCAGTAGAACACTGTCAGCAGAAGAATACTGAATGTTGAAACATGAAGAGCACCAGGAAATGAGACTCAAAATGCTATTGGGAAAGTGTTGCCTTCTCAAAGTAGAGTTAACAATGATGACACAAATGGAGCAAAGCTTTCCTGACATCCTGAAAATAAGGAGAAACATATGTAAATATCCATTAATTATCAGAACATGAAATGTAGGAATTAGGAATCTAGGACAATTGAAAGTTTCCAAAAATGAAACAGAATGCATAAACATCTATATACTAGGCATTAATAAGCTGAAATGAACTAATATTGGCCATTTTGAATCTTACAATTACATGGTTTACTATTCCAGGAATGACAAATTGGAGAGGAATGGTGACACATCCATCATCAAAAAGAAATTTCAAGATCTATCTTGAAGTACGGCACTGACTGTTATAGGCAGGTGTACTGGTGTGGTGTTGCAGGTTAATGTGCTGAACTGCAAGGTCAATTTGAACTGCAGGTCGGTGGTTCAAGCTCACCAGCCACTCAAAAATCCTATACAGGGTCGAGATGAGTCAGAACTAATGCAATGGCACTAAACAACAACAACAACAGCAACAAAGAAGACAGTTAATACAACTATTATTCAAATTTACACATCAAACACTAAAGCCAGTGATGATGAAATTGAAGAATTCTATTAAATTCTTCAGTCTGCCATTGATAAAACATGCTATCATCATGTATTGATAATTGCTGGTGATTGAAATGCATAGGCTGGAAACAAAGAGGAAGGATCACTTGTTGGAAAATATGGTCATGGTGATAGATGATGCTGGAAATCACATGATTGAATTTTGCAAGACAAATGACTTCTTCATTGCAAATACCTTTAAAACAATGTATATAATTATACACATAGACCTCACCAGACGGAATACACAGCAATCAAATTGACTACATCTGCGGGGAAAAGACAATGGAAAAGCATGATATCTTTAGCCAAAACAAGGCCAGGGATAGACTGTGGATCAGAAAGCATCAAAAGAAGATGGAAGGAATACAGAGTCAATGTACCAAAAATAAATGGTCTATGTTCAACTATTTCAAGAGGTAGTATATACTCAAGAGCCAATGATACCGAAGGAAGAAATCCAAGGTGTACTGAAAGCATTGGCAAAGAACAAGGCTCCAGGAAATGGTGGAATACAAATAGAAATCTTTCAACAAACAGATGCAGCACTGGAAGCACTCACTCATCTATGCCAAGAAATTCAGGAGACAGTTACTTGAACATCTGATTGGAAGAGATCCATATTTGTGCCCATTCCAAAGAGAGGTGACACAACAGAATGCAGAAATCACTAGACAATATCACTGATATCACATGCAAGTAAAATTTTGCTAAAGACAATTGAAAAATAGCAGCAGCAGTACATTGACAGGGAGCTGCCAGAGGTTCAGGGCCAGATTCAGACGGGGATGTGAAATGAGGGATATCATTGCTAAGGTCAGCTGAAAGCAGAGAATCCCAGAAAAATGTTTACCTGTACTTTATTGACTATGCAATGGTTTTAGATTGTGTAGATCATGTCAATCTATAAACAATATTGCAGAAAATGAGTATTCTGGAACACTTAATTGTGCTCATGAGGAACCTGTACATAGACCAAGAGGTTCAAGCAGAACTACCACTGAAGGGTTTAAAATTAGGAGCGGTGTATGCCAGTGTTGTATTCTCTCACCATACTTACTCAGTCTGTGTGCTGAGCAAATAATTCAAGAGGCTGGATTATATGAAAAAGAATGTGACATCAGGATTGCAGGAAAATTCATAAACAACCTGCAATAGGCAGATATCACAACCTTGCTAGCTGAAAGCGAAGAGAAGTTAAAATACTTACTGATGAAAATCAAAGACCACAGCCTTCCTGATGAGTTGCACTTCAATGTAAAGGAAACAAAAATCCTCACCACTGGACCAATAAATAACATCATGATAAATGGAGAAAAGATTGAAGTTGTTGTCAAAGACTTCATTTTGCTCAGATTCACCATCAATACTCATGGAAATAGTAGTCAAGAAATCAAAGATGTATGCATTACCAAATCTGTTGCACAACACCTTTCTTAAGTATTCAAGAACAAAGATGTCAGTTTGAGGACTAAGGTATGTCCGACCAAAACCATAATATTTTCAATAGTCTCATATGCATGTGAAAGTCGGACAGTGAATAAAGAAGACCATAGAAGAATTGATGAATTTGAGTTAATGATGTTGGAGGAGAATATCAAAAATACCATGTACTACCAGAAACACAAGCAAATCTGTGTTGGAAGAAGTACAGCCAAAATACTCCTTAGAAGCTAGGATGGTAAGAATACTATATTTTCAGGAGGGACCAGTCTCCAGAAAAGGACACCATGCTTCAAAAAGTGGAAGGTTAGTGAAAAAGAGGAAGACTCCCAAAGAGATAGTTTGGTACAGTAGATGCAGCAATGGGTTCAAGCATAGCAATGATTGTGAGACTGGCGCCAGTGTTGGTCAGTGTTTCGTTTTGTGGTACATAAGGATGCTATGAGTCTGTACCAACTACAGACTCAAAGAAACCTAATAACAACAGCCCTCTAGAATGGGGTTTTAAAGAGTGTTCCAGGTAGATGGACTAGCAAGTACAAATGCCCCAGGTTGGAGCAGGCCTGGTGTTTGAGAAACAGCAATGACGGTATATAAAATCACAAGAACCTCCATCTTGAGGTTACTAAGAGATAAAGGCACTAATGAGTTTACATGACAAAGCAAGCCAGCTCCACATAATTTCAAAGTATATAATTACTGGAAGGAACAAACAAGACAAAATCTATAATATAAAATATCACTGACCAAAGGAAGTACTTACTTGATGAGCAGTCGTT